AGAGAGAGAGAGAGAGAGAGAGAAGGTGAGGGGCAGAGAGAGAGAGGGAGGGAGAGAATCCCAGGCAGGCACGTACCTGTCCACGCAGAGCCCGACGCGAGGCTCGATATCCCCAACAACGAGATCGTGACCTGAGCCGAGATCCACAGTCGGACTCTCTGAGCTGCCCCCCCTGCAGCTCAGTGCCCCATTGGGGCACTATTTTAAAACCCCTTCTGTATTAACTCATGTAATCTCAGAACCGCCCCGGAGCCCTGGGCGTTGGGGATGAGGAGGCTGGGAAAGGTTAGGGACGTTGTCCAAAGTCACACAGCGAGCGAGCGGAAGAGCTACGAACGCTCCACACGTACACAAACCCACAACAGCCTTCACACGAACAGGGAAGCTCTTTAACGGCTGAAAAGGCCCAACCTTCAAGGTGAGTCGCCAGGTGAAAAAAAAGCCAGGCGGCCAACACTGTCTAGACTATGGTACTGCCTGCAGGGGAAAACAGATAAATAAAAGGAACACAGAATCTACGTGCGATGGTGTAAATCCCCAGAGGGCATCTCTGAAAAGATGTCCACTACCATGGGAACAGCATTGGCACTGGAGATGGAGTTCAGCTACAGAAGGAGGTCACGGGGCCAGTCCACACGGGTGCACGCATCTGTAACTTGAATTTGGAGCCACTGGCAAGTATTACCCATCCTGAAATAAATGTGTTCTTCGTTTGGGTGTGTGTTTTTTTTCCCTTAAAGCTGGCGTAAGGAAGAAGCTACCGACCCCAGAGCCGCCCCCCAACTTAATAAGAAACACATTTCGGGGGAAGAAATGGGCACAGCTAACCCCACCCTGGCTCCCACTCGCCGTCTGTCCGCCCTCGTCAAAGACGGGGGATCTAAGGCGGGGCGCGGAAAGCACAGGGGAACGCAGCCAACAGCGGAGTCTCCAAGTACTGGGGGCTCAGAACCACATTCGGGGTCTCCTGGAAGGGGCTTCCTGCCTCGCACCAGGGCTGAGGTCCTTAACCACGGGCAATGTGGCTCTTCAGGGAACATTCGGTAACAGCTGGAGACATTCTGGGCAGACTGGCCTCTAGTGGGTAGGAGCCGGGGACACGGTTCAACATCCTGCCATGCACGGGACACCCAGGATGTCCCATGTCCCCAGGTTGGGGTGCCTGCATCAGCGCGTCTCACACAGTTATGTGCGCTCAGGCATCACCTGGGGCTCCAGTTAAAGTGCCAGTTCTAGGGGCGCCTGGGTGGCTCAGTCGGTTGAGCGTCCGACTTCGGCTCAGGTCGTGATTTCGCGGTTTTTGAGTTCGAGCCCCGGGTCAGGCTGTGTGCTGACGGCTCGGAGCTTGGAGCCTGCTTTGGACTCTGTGTCTCCCTCTCTCTCTGCCCCTCCCCCACTTGTGCTCTGTCTCTATCAAAAATAAATAAATGTAAAAAAAAAATTTTTTTTAAGTGCCGGTTTTAGGGGCGCCTGGGTGGCTCAGTCGGTTGAGCGACCAACTTTGGCTCAGGTCATGATCTCGCCGTCTGTGAGTTCGAGCCCGCGTCAGGCTCTGGGCTGACGGCTCAGAGCCTGGAGCCTGTTTCAGATTCTGTGTCTCCCTCTCTCTGACCCTCCTCCGTTCATGCTCTGTCTCTCCCTGTCTCAAAAATAAATAAAACGTTAGAAAAAAAAAACATTTTTTTTTTTTTTAAATAAAGTGCCGGTTTTAACAGTGCAGGCCTGGGACGGGCCAGAGTCTGTGTTTCCGTGAGGATGTCCAGCCCGCTGGTGCGGGGACCTTGCTCTGCACAATGAGGCCTCGCCCAACCCGGTGTGGCCAACGGTGTCATCGTCTCCTGCAAAGGGGCAGGTGCTACTCTTGCTTGGGATCAAAACGCAGACAGCGAGCACTGCTTGGTGGGGGTCGGAGGAGCGAGCCCTCCCTGGATGGGAACAAGCATGAACTTGCTGCTGAGCTCCTACGTGAGTCCAGGAGCACAGGCTGTGTCGGAACCAGAGGGGTGGTGACAGGACACCTACCGTCCAAGGTCTCCACGCAGAGCTGCAGGCCCAGATTGTGCCGCGGGTTGACCACCCAGTGGTTGCTGGTGGCCGTGATGTCGAACACCAGCCAGCCCTCCTCCGAGGCCCAGAGCGTGCGGCTGTCCAGCAGGAACAGGTCTGACTCCCTACAAAAGAGGAGGAGAGACACGAGGCATGGCAGGTCACGGCTCGGTCAGCCTTGTCACCAGCCGGCCGCCGTTGGACAGAAGGACCGTGGGGAGTCGGGGAGGTGGCAGGAGGTCCACCGGGCCCCCAGAAGCGGGTACATCAGAGCAAGATCCAGGGCTGAAGACCCCTTAGTAGCTGCGATGGAAAAAGGGAGCGTAGAAGGGGCACAGAGAATGCACGCAGGGGACAGGGCGCTGCTCCAAGGCGAGCTCACCCTTCACACTTGTTGGGGGGGATCCCGATGGGAGACAGTACAGGAAGGCAGGCATGTGCAGCCTCTGTGTTGCCTGAACTCTCAGGGAATAGAAGCTCACATTTTTTGGATTACTCACCATTTGCCAGGCATGGCCTGGAATACACATATTACCTCATTCAATTCTCACGACCCTAAGGTGTAGGGATAGTATCATCGCCACGATTATGGTAAAACCATGACTTGCCCCAGGTCATTTAGGCAGGAGTTGGGGTGTGATCTCAGGCAACCGAGCACCGGTACACACACTCCTCATTTGCATGCCGTGCAACTTCCTCCTAAACCCACCACGTATGAGGTGGTGGACGCCTAGATGGGCATTAATGGAGACAACGCTTTAATCTTCTCTTTCTCACATTTTGCAGTAGCAAAATGGCTAAAACTACAACTGATGTTGTAGTGGATGGAGGATAGGTGGATGGGTGGATGGATGGATGGACGGATGGGTAGAGGGGTGGATGGATGGATGGATAGATGGATGGATGGGTGGATGGATGGATGGATAGATGGATGGATGGATAGATAGAGGGGTAGATGGATAAAGGGGTGGATAGATGAATGGATGAATAGAGGGGTGGATGGATGGATGGATGGATGGGTAGAGGGGTGGATGGATAGATGGATGGATGGATGGATGGATGGATGGATGGATGGATGGATAGATGGGTGGATGGGTGGGTGGATGGACAGATGGATGGATGGATGGATAGATGGATAGGTGGATGGATGGATGGATAGATAGGTGGGTGGATGGATGGATGAATGGATGGATGCATGGATGGATGGATGGTTGGATGGGTGAATGGATGGAGGGGTGGTGGATGGATGGATGGATGGATGGATGGATGGTTGGCTGGCTGGATGGTTGGATGGTTGGATGGATGGGTAGATGGGTAGATGGGTGGATGATGGATGGGTGGATGATGGATAGGTGGATGGGTGGGTGGATGGATGGATAGATGGATGAATGAATGGTTGGTTGGATGGATGGATG